TTGTACCTATACATGTGAACAACATCTCCACAATCAAACAGTATTGGCTGTATAAACCCTAATTAGCATAACAACAATAGGTCATTTTTTATTTAGTTCACATTTCATGAAAATACACGTATGAATACTGTATTTAATAAAAATGTGTTCTTGCAAGTGAAATAGTTATTTAATTATCTAAGATAAACTAGGTATGGTCTATTGATTAGCTTGTGTTTTTTTTTTTTTTTTCGTTAAGCTGGCTAAGCTCTTGTCCAATTGGGCTTCATTGTATGTGAGGCATATTGAGTAACAAGGGGTTGTCATTAAAATGTTTAAACATAACAATGATCTGACTGAAACACAATGGTAAAGCACTGTACCACTGTATAGCTGATCAGGTCAATTGTTTTAATTTTCATTTTCTTGAATATTTCTAAAAATCAATTTGAAAGCAAATTACATATTTCGTTAACTTTGAAAGTTATAAAACAATGCTGCAAATTTTGAATAATTATAATTTTTTTTCTTTTTAAGTTTTTAAGTGATATAATGAAGTCGTTTTTTTCTGTCCTATAATAATTCAAACTCACTAAATGTTATAAAAAAAAACCAAGGATTAATTGCTACAGAGACTTTTTCATTATCACCCAATTTTAAAGGATCAACATATACCCTGAGTATGACATTTAAAAAATAAAATATGTTACTTTTTTAAACTTTGTATTTACCATCAATTATTCACACATGATCCTACTATAATCCATAGCTAGGAAAAATTAATCAACACAAAGCAGAATAACGATAATAAATCATGAGGATTAATAATAATTTAATATAACGGACATTTATCATGCATGCATGTTGTACATTAAGGATTTTATTGTCAGAAACAATCATACATTGTTCCCAAGATATTCAGAACCAACCAGCTGTACAGCTGTAAAGTAAGCCCAAGTTTTTAAAGTTTGAGAAATGATATTGATCATAGAATAACAGAAGAGCATTTTAATGTGATTCTGATACTCTTGGTGTTATATTCTTAATAAACCCCGAAACAACTTCAATTTTTTTTTCTGATTATAAAATTCAACTGGCGCTGTGCATCTGTGATAAGATAAATAGCAATTTGATATGGATATACTGGGTAATGTTTCAAATAAACAAACAAAAAATAACTATTATGTTCATATCTACTGTATGTGGACATTAAGTTTTATTAGCCTTTTTTGGGGGATAATTTTTGGCCAATTACATGACTCCTAAATTTGCAATGAAATCGTTTCCAAAATTTTCCAGCTAACATCTGAAATTTTCTAATAGGACAAATAATTTCTGTAAATGTGATGCAAATATCCCATCCCATATTGATAAATTAAACTCCATGGTACAGTACCCCAAGTGCTAATGGGCAGAGCCAAAAGGAGTCAAATTGACTCATACCTCAAACATCTTCTCAAAACCCAGATGTGGTAGAATCAAATACACTTTTCATGGATGGAAAAGGTGCTTTACCAAAATTGTGAATTTCATTACCACATAGGGTCGTGCATTTCCCCGATGGTAGGAGGTGAAGTATTTTAATATATGTAACACAAGCATAGGTTAATGTAGCCCTGTATTGATCTCATTTTGAGCTTAAATTGTAAGATTGTACCAACAGATTCTTAAAAAAAACAAAGCTATTTGAATGTTCAGTAAAACTATATACCTGGAAGTGTTAACAACTAAAATGCCGAACTTTCAAACTTGAACAAATAAATACTTAATGCTGTTTATATTTGTTTAAACATGCAACAGGTAAAATCATTGTAAAGTTGTTGTTGATGTTGTAATTAAACCACTAGTGTTTACTTGTATGTTAAGTCCATGGACAAATTGAACACATTCTTGAGAAAACATTGCCCTTTTTTTTCGAAGTGTAAAATACCCATAAAGCTGAAGTTACACACTATATATGTATACAGTGCAGTAAAACACATATTATATATCTAAACCCCTTTAAATTTATTTGCAGCCTAGCATGTTATGCCTTAAATCAAATGCATTAAAGTTATCATCAATTCAACTTATCTTAATGACTTTTTCAGTTATTTACCAATCCAAAATTTGAAAAATAAAATGTTGATATTCCACAATACAAGTGAAATGAAAGTAAGGAAAGGTGACATTAACACAGAAAAAGAACATATCAAACTAACCATAACCTTAAATGATTACTTAAAAAAAAATATAGCTACAAGTAGACATCTTAAACAGCTTAACACACATAACACAGTCCAACACTTAATACCCTGGACCACATAATCTGAAGTAGATTTTCAACTGTTTGAAATACACTGACATGTATGATTTTACAATTGTAAGTCCACCTGTTGATTGTAATCTTATTGGTCAGAATTGACCACCCTTTGTGGCTGGATTACGTAGAGCGGTCACCTTTAGTGCTTCTTTACAATAGACATGGCACATGACCAATCCATAGCTTACCTTAATTGTAAAACAGAGGTTAAATCAGCACGGCTGATCAACCCTGTGTGTGACCTTTATAGTCAGTATTATACCTTTATACCCAAACAGAGTCCGGAATGACTACAATCAATAAATATTTACTCAGAGGTTTTAAGAGGATTAATTTCAGAAGTTACTAAAGTGGTTAGAATTTTATCTGACTTTATCATGCATCCTTTTCTTGATATTGATCAATATCAAAGAATATCACATGGTCATAGACGATCCTCAGTACTAAATTATTTCCCAACATATTACAGTGTACAAACTGCTGATTAATTAACTCCACCTTATAAAGCCTGTGTATTGTAAACTACAATTAATCACAGGGGCATGTAACCATGTTTCAGGTTTCAGGGAGGAGAAATCTTCTTTATCTTTAGGCCTTTGATCACACTTGCAGTCATTCTGTTTCTGGTAGGCATGAGAAATGGCTTGATGAAAATTGATCATTTTTGGTAGTGGACCCCGGACTATAAATAATTATTAGTACACTATAGAAGTCCCCTCACATCAAAGCATTGTCCACTGTTAGTTTTATATTCCCATGGTGTTAAACATGAAGCTTATAAACTTTATTGCTTTAAGTTTTACAACCTTGACAAAAAAAAATTAACTTCTATTAGTATAAGATTGTAGTGTGCAAGGAGAATACTGTTGGAGGAAACCAGTGCCTTTGGTGAAAGTGTACTGGCCTAGGTGAAAGACAAATGTGTTTAATTGCCACTGCACCACTCAAATCATTGAGTTATTTTATTATTGAAGATTAAAGCCAAAAATAGCTTTTCACAATTAAACAAAGATCTATTGAGTCATTTTTTTTCTTTTCCATCCTGGAAGTTGTAATCAGTATTTGTACCTAGTACTTTTCTTGCACTTTTAATTTGTGTTCAAACTTCTATGATACAGACCATAACCAGATGTATATTATTGCTAAATATATTTGTCTATATTCCTGTGCCGTTAAAAGAATTACAGTAAATTTCAATTTATTACATCAAGGAAAAAATTAATTATGTGACCCAAAGAATACAAAGATAATTTCAGCACAAGTACGACTGTGGTAGAGCCAATCCTTATCTTTACACAGGCCTTGTACTGGTTGTTTGAACAGTATATCTGGGTGTTTGTTACTTGGAGTGGTCACCCCCTTCTTTGTATATTCTTTGTACACATTTTAAACATAAATCTACACTTGACACCATCTCATCTCACAAGAGTTTGTCAAACAGTTTCTCAATTGCAGCGTTATCATAGAGGTACATTATATTTAACTCCATTTTTAAGTAGGACGGCAAAGTTAATTAAATTTAAGTCGACCTACAGCAGGGTTTCTAAAGAAAATCTCTTTAACTAGTCACAAAGTAAACAATACTTGAAGCTGATATTCTTGCTATTAGTAAGTCATAGCTCTACAACTGAACTTATTTGTAAGATGTCGTTTCACACAAATATTAGTATGATGTCAGTCAGTACATTGTTGTAAATACATTTGTTAGAGGGATGAGCTACCTAATGACAAAGAAATTCTCCCTTGCCCCGTCATAAGGTTACTGCTACAGTACTTCATCAGGATGGTCTTTATTTTAAGGTTATAAAGACTTTCAATTTAGAAATAGTGTACATCTAGGTATCCAACATAGTATTTCATAGTATCATATCACTTTCCAAAAAAAAAATTTCTGACTTTTAAACCATTTTTCATTAAGTTTTAACATTTCATTGGATAGTTTGATCAATTGCTTCTATCAAAGGCTGCATGTATTATCATCCATCTAATGACAAAAATCAATTCCCTGCAAAATTGGACATTGCTTCAAAACCCTTATACACCTTTAGGATAGACTAATATAACATTTTCATTATAACTTGGAAGAAAACAAAAACCCATAGTTATTGGTTGTACAATGCAAAGAGAAATTTCATGAAATATAATCTTTTTTTTTTTATCATCCTTTTTAAGACACAGTAAAATAAAGAGAATTTGTTTGGGGAAATCTAGGAAATTTGTAAATGTAATCATCTTCATTGTCAATTTCCAATCATGTCAAAAATGCTTAAAAAAACAGTAGATACCTGCCAGCATAATGATGTACAGTGCAGTTTTAACAATCAACCAGAAGTTTCATAATTGCCAATTTAATGCATTATAACAAATTAAAGATTAACAGTTTTTTGTCACTGGGTATGGACTGGTACATAGCTATTTCTATAGTTTATAAAGTTAAAATTATCATGGGTGTCTGGATGAGGTCTATATACACACATGAATACGTGTACTTCTATAGACAGACAATACACAATGCAAGTATACCCTAAAGGCGGTTTCACAAGATTTTTTTCAACTGAATTTAAGTGGGTCATAACGTGTACAATATGTGGTCAGTAGAAACGTTGTTTGTAACACATTGGCCAATGCAAGTCAAGTCATTTTTGACGGGTTTTATGCAGATATGGCCTCTGTAATTATTAGTAGTTGCAATATCTGAATGGAAACTGATGATACTTACCAGCTGTATTATCCAATACCCCGACTCCTTCAATTCCAAACATCTGATTGTCGACATCAACATTTTGTTCGCTATCCTTTTGGTCTGCCTTCACGTTTTTCTTACTATTTTTTTTCTTCTTTTTCGAGTTTGCAGTAGCCGGGTTCGCGTTTTTCTTCTGCATCTTTTCATTTAACACAGACACCTTCTTCTGTGTTGATTTTGACACTGATTTAATATCCATACTTGAGCCTTGTAAAACGCATATAACCCAACATCAGCAGCATGATATTAGCTGAAGATTCCATACCGTTCCATAACATTCATTTCAAACCATGCTGAAGACTACTGGTTGTTGACATCGCCAAACAACTTCCAACATGTAAACTAGTGGTCCGCGTTATGTTAAGAATATAGTTCCGATGAGATAACCTATTTAGGTCCTAAGAAATATTACGTTACATAATGGTATATTTTAATAAATATTTCACCCTGGTATAATGTGAAAAATAACAAATAAAACGACTTGATATTATTTTCTAAATGATATTAGGTAACCGGAAACGACTGCGGAGGAATCTAACGTTTCTAAGTGTTGACGGATCGATTTCCGCTAAAATGACGACCCTGACTGACAAGGATACTGAAGCGCCAAAATCAAACATCCCGTGTGACATCGAATTAAACATCGAACACTTTCAACTGATTAATGATGATGACGACGAATGGCTGTCATCCTACGTTTCAAAGAGTAAATCATGTCATTGGTCTTTACTAAAACATACAATATCCCAAGTCAACTCAACCTTCTGGATTGGGGGCGTGGTAGCATGTATATAGCCCTGTAGGTTAGCTACTCTATACTGTTTAAAAAACCTTAGTCCTTGAGCTTACGCATCGTGCGCGTCTTGATGTTAAAAGTTCCTGTAGTCACAAGTAAACAAATGCTTTTGTATTTTTAGACAGCCGATCATATTTGATACAACAATCTCTCGTCAGGATATCGGTTCCAGGCCGTTATGTATTTCGGAACGCCCATTTTGTCGAGACGTATCACATGCACTGTTGACATGCGTGACCTCGAACTCTGATAATTTTGGGTGCTGTAACATGTTATGTTTCCTGAAAGAATAAAAATAGTGATTAAAACCATTCGCCATAAAATACACCGTGTTAATATTTCATGGGCAAATTTGTGTATTTTTTCTTAATACATATTTCTCATAAGATAAGTTTATTTCCGGGTCAGGACTTCTATGCTAGTCCTCTCTATATATTAAAAATACATTATACAAAATATTGAACTATTCATAATATAACAGATATTTTACTAAGACCTCTTGCAAATGTACATCATGTATACTATTTGGAAATTATGTGGTTGCAGCCCTGTTATTAAAGAACAGTTCTTGGTATTTCCAGTATTTGTCTTACTCATTTTTAAATTTGTCAATATTGTTTGCTGAAATGACATGTCAAACATACTCCCAGATATGGTGAAATAGCCAATCAATCCATCCTAGGATGCCAGTGTTATGTTGTCGATTGCCAAATGATTAAAAATTTACCAGGAATGAAGTCCAAACATGCAAATCTTACATTTGAAAAGTGGTGTTTTAAAATTGTCGCTTTTGATGACTTTTTTCTGAGTAGATTTTTAATTAGATAGCAAATCGTAAACCAACCAATGAAAAATTAAATTTTATTGAAATAGTTTGTGTTATAAAAAAGAAGAAATATGGTTCATTTGAGAGAAAAACAAAAAAGACACACAAAAAATTGAATCTAACCCTTCAGAAAAGGTGCACACATCAACACAAATATACACCATTTTCGCACCATTATTGTATTATGTTTTTTCTGTCATCAGAATGTCATTTTGGTTCAAATTTTTTGTAATGAATTTGTACATCTGGGTCACTGTAAGCTATCTTAAGCGTCTCTGAGATTTAGTGATGTTATCAGAAATGAAAGTTCAGTTACATGTCAGATACATATGTCAATCATTTTCAGGTGAGCAAATTTGAGGTCAGATCTGTGGATATTTCTGAGAAAAATACTGGTGTTTCACTGATCATCTTTTTAATAAATCTTATAAAATGATCATATTTGAATTAATTAATGTATTTGTTTGGTGGCAATTGGTTGACAAAGCATAGGTAGCATGAGACGATTCTTAAGGTGTCCAAAACTAATGTGCCAAGGATACAAAAAGAGAGTGCATGCAGGTCACATAACTAGCCTTGGCTAGTGAAAATTTCCCTATAGTAAAGCGATAGAGTGTTGAGCTAGAGACCCATAGGTCACTAGTTAAAATCACAGGGAGCAGAGTTTTTCATTAATCCTTTTTATTGTAACAGAGATCATTATTTATTTCAATGCTTCTACTAGGGTTCGAACCTGGGACCCTGGCTTACTAGTTTGATGCACCACCAATCAAGCTATGGAGAAGATTTCTCTAACCGAGCTTTATATTGATGCTTGTGATGTATAGCTTAGTATTATCCCTGAGTCCCTACATGGCCACCAATGTAACAGAGGTCATTATCTAAAGAGTTGGGAAGGAGGGAGTAGTGCACTAATGGAGAGAGTTCAGCTTGCCTTACTTCCAGTAGAGTGTCAGACTAAAGACTGAAGATTCAGTAGTCGAACATTTCCAAGCCAAGGTTTTTAATTACTGCATCCTACTACAGATGCATGGGTCCTGCATGTGCTAACATTTTACACAAATTTCCTCCTGAAACAGATTGGTATATTTACCAATTTAAATCTTTTAGAATGTGTGATATGTAATTTTTTTGAAGTTGAATTTATGTCTTTTCAGTGGAGGAAATGGCAGAAAAGTATACTTCAACAGCCGACACGTTTGGTAGAAGTACAGATACTATAGTCACTGTAACCAATACAGAAGTCATATGCAGTAATGCAGACACCAGTTCCACTGGCTGTGTTTCAATAACTAGAACTAATAACCCCATGTTTTTTTGTGAAAATGAAAAACCCTCCCATTCTCTAAACAGTACTGTCCACGTCAGTGATCTGACCAACACAACAAGCACAGAGGTCAGTGCTGATCAAACATACAGGGCAAGTTCCCATATTGGACCTGCTGATGAAACCACTAGTGAGATCCTTGCCAACAAAACAAACAATTCCTGTTCTGAGGTTACTCGGACTGATCAAGATAGTGGCCGGATTCCTCAGGTCATTATTGACCACGCAGATGAGACAACACCCCTGGAAAAGTTTCGCCCGGGCTACCTGTGGGTGTCAGATCTCACCAAGCAAAACTGGTGTGAACAGCAGTTATTGTACAGTTTCACAGTCCCTGGGGTTGTTGTGGAGGACCCAGTTATGACAAAAGGATCTGACCTGCACCTTCAGAGGGGTGCGTATATAGAATACAAGATAATTCAAATTAATGATGTTTATACTGGTAGTAGTTATCAAGTTTTTCATGCCTAGATAAAATATGGACATTATTGATTTTTTAAAGATGATTTATTAGAGCATAGATTAATGACAAATGCTGTTATGAAGTTATATTGATCAAATGTCTCACACTAAGACGAGTAAGTGCACAGGGATAATTTTAGGTCAGTAATTTCAAAGGATAGTTTTTTGAGAAAATGGATAGGATTTTCCTGTATAATTTAGCACATGATGAGAATTTCAATGAGATTTTCAGTAAAGTTATGGGTAAAAATCACTTAATGTCAACACAGTGATCCTTAAATGAGGATTATTAAATTTTGCAAATGAATGATGTATATAACTTTTCACACGTATATCACATAAACCTGGTATACATGAATAGATATGTGATGAATGTTTATGTTTCAGATAATCTGCTATATGTACAGTATATATCTTGGGTGTTTCATTGAGTAACATTGTCTCAGAAAGAGGTTACAAAATCAAACACTACCAACTAAGAGTCAATTCAATTGAAATGTTTGGTTGTTTTACATATCTTTGTCATTCATATAGTTTGACCTAAATATGAAGACTTTCCAAGGATATGTTTTATTATCATTGCTGACTTTAAAATGATTTAATAATCAGCTTTGGAATAAATTCCCAATACTAATTTCCTCAGAATCTCGTTTTTCAGAGCTTGCAGTTCATGATGTTGTTCATGTTGATATCACATCTAGTGAAGATATCTGGGCTGTGAAGTTGTTGAACCTACTAAATTCAATACAGACATTTCTCAGTGGTGCACCACTCGCTAGGGAAGTTCCGATATTTGGAGCACCTTTTCATGAAGATGTCTTCCTAGTAGGGCTTATTGATGAGCTGAGATTTGACTTAGAAACATATGCTATTGGTTTGTCGGAACTTAAAACTAGACTTTCAAAATCTAAGCCGTCTAAATCTCAAGAGAGACAACATCGATTACAGGTTATGTTATATAAAAAGCTATTTGATGATCTTGTGAAAGGAAATATTTCAAAAGATGTTGTGGCCCGTCACCTCAGATTGAAGTTGACAAAAGTGTTGGGGGAGAGTGTTCAAGAGGAACTAGGAAAGTCGGGGCTGTCATGTAAAACACTTGATACCTTACTAGATATTGTTTTTGGACGAATGGCGGCAGTCACATGCATTGGAGAAACTAGCATTGAATATGTCCACCAGGGGTCAGGGCAGTCATTTCTCCACCAGGATGTGGTCTATGATGATGAGGAACTGAAGAACATGTACACTCATTACTTGGAATTCTGGCGAGGACAAAGGGCCGTAGAAGGTGTTGATATTGAGGATGCGTGGAAGTGTCAGCGATGTGACTACGAGTCTGTTTGTGAATGGAGACAAGTCAAGGCAGCTGAATGTGCTAGAAAGAACAAACTAGGTAGAATTTAAGTTAACGATAGACATGACCAGACAAGATCTGTCGAAAAGTTCAGCAGGATTTATTGGTTGAACCTTGTGACACAGATGTTGTCTGGTCATATCTACCAATAACTTCAACAGCTGTTTTGGAGCTGGACTCTGTACTCCATTAGGAATCCATTTCTGGAAGACTACCAACACTTTTAGAAGATTTCCTGCCAGACATAGGGTCTCATTTCTCGTACAGCTAGAATTCAGTTAAATTGCTTCAGAAATTTCTTAATTATACATACTTTTCTTACTGTCTTTATTCTGCAATAAGCCCAGAGACCAACAAACTACTTATTTGAAGTCCAGGGATGGGCTTATTACTGGTCACTGTTAATGTTAATCATTATGTTAAAGGTTTAATAAAACAGCAATATTTATGAGTGGGACTATTACCGAACATGAAATTATTGATGGATGAAATGAAATATAGTATATTTTGCATAGATATGAAATCTTTTCTTCTTTTCTTGAATTTTTGTGTGATCTCATCTTTACTTGACCTGTAAAGGAAATAAAGTGATGGTGTCAGTAGTAACAAATATATTTCACATGTGCAAATATCAATTTATTAGCTACATGATGATTTTACTGAAAACTCTGTTAAATATTCCCAACATTTTGATTTTTTTGTAATTTTGGATTAGACTTTTTTTATAAGTCAGTTTCAAATGATGAAATTCTCTATTTTCAGTGGTGGAATTCTCAGAGAGAGTTATTTTGCAGTTTGATATATTTATTTGTAACGCCACCTTTTACAGGTTAACTTATGCAACCATTTTTTATTACTTTGATGCTGTTTTGTTGGTTTGGGTAAAAATATGTTTGTGTTGTGTAGTGAAGAGTGGAGATAAAGAAATTCAAACGCTGTTCGGGTTGTTGAAGATTTATTGTGATTTAGGCTATGGAGAGATGGAACACTCACATGCCTTCAGGAAATGATACAGCATCTGGACTTCTTCATCTCCACTCTTCACTACACAAAACAAACTTCATTTTAAAAAGCCTGTATTACCTTGTAAGCTACATACATGTTCCATTTCGCTAGAGTGTGCTTATTTTAGTCGACTTGGTTGAAAACATGATGGTGAATATTTCACTATTGTTTGATGATAATTAGTATATACAGGTATACACTGTAGTTTGCTGTTGCTATTGAAGCTACCTAAGACAGAGTGTCCTGATGATATTCATATGAATTGAAAGAATCAAAATATATTTTTCTTGCTTCTGAACATTATAAATTGTTTATGTATACAATTAGATATATTACATAGGTAGGTAGCAGGGCTTATATTCATGAATTATGATTACCGGTAGTTTGTGTATTCCAATTAATGCCACTGAAACTCTGACAGTTTGTTACTGTGTGATTATATCAACACATTTCTGTACTTTTGCTAACTAAGTTTTTTAAGTTTTAAGTTCATAAGAATGGACTGTCATATGTAGCACAGTCCCTTTAGGTTTTTTTAGTTTTTTTTTATCATTTGAAATAGCAAAAGCAATCTTATCTTTCCAATCAGTCTTAAAAGTAAACATGTATAAGAAATCATCAATGAAAACATAGATTTAAAATGGTTAGATAATTTGTTGAAATCCGAAAAACTTGAATTCTCTTGTAGACATTTTGTTTTGATTGTACTCAAAACTGAACACCAAACACCAGGAACCATGGAAACCTGACACATACACGTATGAAATATGAAAATTATCCCTCCATTTCTTCTCGGTAAAAAAAATCCCTTTTCAATCAAAATCCAAGAGACAAATTTGATCTTAGCGCAGTTCTAAAATTGAATTAACACAGCAACTGACGGGGGGAAATCTATACTTCGAAGAGAATGATCTGTATACCACTTCGCTAGAAATGATAATAAGAGATTTTGAAGGATGTCATATGTGGATGAGGGTCTTTCAGATGCAAAGACTGCTTTACATATCATATTGCACTTATACATTTAAATCATTGTCTTGTAATATACTCACCTCCATATTTTAGGCAGAATTACTTATGTGTTCGCCCTGTAGGCTTACAAGTTCCCACTGGAACTGGGGAAACTATGTCATGTCAGTCCATCCTTCAGGGATTGTGTCCTAGCTCTGTTCTCTACATCATTTGTCACAGGAATTTCAAACTTTGGTTATGGGTTCACCTTGGTGAGGTGATGTGTTGGTAGGGGACAGCAATTCGCTGAATTAACCTGATACTTGATATCTGACATTCGTCACATGATTACCATATTTTTCAGTGAATATACCCTGTATTTTGGGTATGATAATCAGGTTTAGATAATGAAATGATGTCACATACTCGGAGACTGTCTTGTGATGTAACTATAAAAACCCAGTGATAAACAGCAGAATTGATAGTAAGTTTGATGTGGAAACATCATTATTTTGATGCCTCCGCTGGGACTCGAACCTTGGTCCTCTAGCTTACATGTACTAGTCTGATCAAGCTTAAGAGAAGATCTCAAGCCTAGTGATACATGTATATTGCGACTAGTATTTTACCAGGATTAAATACACTTACAGGAAAAAAATCATCCAGGGGTTACAGTAATGGGCCAAGTATTAATTCTGAGTTGCTACAGATAAGAGCCAATGGGATAGAGATAATTATTTTGGTACCTCAACTAGGATTTGAACCTGTGACCTCTGACCCACTAGTCTTATACTCAACCTGTCAAGTTTAAAGAGAAAGATCTCCCTAGTTGTAGGGTGTCTTATGATTAGTACTTACCAGGGTTACTTGTACAATATTTGCCTGAATAATGGATCATGTGACCCTCAATTTGTTTCTGTTTGATTTGATAATTATGAAACTTCAAAAGATTTTCACACAGACTTTATAAATCACTTTTCTAATGGATACTCATGTAGCTTGATTAATAATTTTGAAAACTTTTCATTATGTGAACTTATACTTGCCATCAAACAGTGGTGGCAAGTGATTGTTACTTCACTTCAGCAAATGAACTCAAAAAGATCAGAAAAAAGGCACAAACTAAACATAGGTTACTGTATTGTAGTGGAGCTTTGAAGGTTCAGTTAAAGATACTTGAAATGAGTTTTTTTTAAAGGTGTATTTACATATGTACATGTTCTCGTTTTTCAGACATTGCACCCTTTAGAACTGTGTGCTGTGTACTTGAGATTTGATATATATGTGCAATATACTTGGATTTTATGTTGATATCTGCAATATATCTTTTATTGAAATTTGATTTAGGTAACAGTTTATCACAAGCATTACTAAGATATTTCGGAACACTCCGGTACAGTGGGTACCACATTATTATGTGCCGGCTGTATTAACTCGTATTTATGACCAAATAAAAAAAAATAATATCATTAGTTCTCCTTACTGTGCAATGATCTTTTTCAAAAGAGTTATATTTTACAAACAAATAACATTTTAAAAATCCCCATTTAGAGTGTTTACAAGCCTCTCGGTCATTTACATAAACTGTACATCATATTTACTCAATCCGATAAATAGATCAAACATTTAGGAAAAAACTCAAGTCTACACCTATTATAATTACAGTACATAACTGTGGATGATAAACTATATATATATATATCTGTATATACAATACACAAAGTTGTTATCTTTTTAAATTATATATATGTGTATATATATATATATACTAAGTTTACCATCTGACCATTTTGAAACAAAATTTAGTCACTTATCTGTACAATTTTTTTATTGATATCCACACACACAAATTAAACAATGATTTAGCACCTAATTACAATTCCGCCCAAACAGATTTATTCCTATCAAGATAACGATCGGATATATAGTATTTGTGAAAAGCCAGTAAAAACCAGTGTCATTTTCAGAGAGCTTTTATCCCATATTCATTGTTGAGATTGGCAAACTTCCATAATCAGTGGTTTTGGTAAAACTTATTGCTAATTATCTGTTTTGAATTTCTAGTGATTAGTATTTCTGTTAATTCAAACTCTGTTTTGTTTCCAATATTTACATGTTTAAAGTTATATATTTAAAAAAACAATTCGTTAGTTCCTCTCTATCTATAAATTACGTGATTCAACAAAAATACCTTTGCTCCAATGGCGATGAAGGAAATTTTCACTTAAAATATAGAACTCAATAGTATACTGCTCCAAATATTTGTCTGAGCTGACCATCGGCCTATAATTTATCAAAACGACTTAATGGTGTTCAACTATGAAACAGTTTAACGAGCAACACCCTTAGATTCGGTTAACCATCCTCCCTCCTCCTCCCTCTATTCTCCCTTCATCCTCTTCCCTCCCTCCTCCTCCTAGGTCCAGTCCTGCCTGCCCCTTGAGACTCTAACTATTTGGCATTCTTTAAGAAATGCGAGATCATTGAATAATCGATAAAAATGATTACCTTTTTAATGGTGTTACTGACTTAGATATATCTTTATATAGTGTGAGGTTCTACTTTTAAATCCACCACTGAATTGGTGATATCACCTAATCGTTTAAAAGATATCACTTTATAAGTGGAATGAAAAATAAAAGGCGCTCCATATCCTTACATCCGGTATGAAATTTTCCTTAATATTTTTACAATATAGACCAGTACTGTTTAAATAATAAAAAGAATTGTAATAAATCTTCTCCAAAATGAGGCCAGGTAAAGCTTCCTGTTTAACACCTGAGGGAGATACGTTTGGGGACCCCGGGTGGTACGTCAACACATGGATCTCCTATTGAGAATTGATAAGTCAGTACTATATTATTGATTACATCCGTTTAAGTCGTTGTGAAGTGGGGTGGTCTTTGGTGTTAGTGAAAGGTATGTCATTGAAATATGTAAAATGCATGAATATTGCATGTTTTGAATTTGTATTCTATGTTACGTTTCTGATCGTAGATTCTTTTATTTTGGATTCTGTTTCAAGGACTACGTCTAATATAGAAACAGCACCCGGGCACAGCAGCATGACACGCCTCCCGGTCGTACCAATCCC